TTTGGGTTGAAGAAACATCAAGCCCTTCCACTCCCACCTGCTGCCATGGGCAGAGACACCTTCCTGTCCTGTCTGGCCTGGGAGACTTCCAGCAATGGACTTACAGCTCCTACATCTGTAGAAGTCACAGTTATCCACAGCCCCTGTAACAGACTCTGCACAATGACTAAAAAGGAAGTGTTACACAAGCAACAGCAAATTTGTGGGAACAGAAGACTGGTAATGAGGATGTAAATAGGCTGAAGTGATGTCACAGCTGAGAACAACTCCTGATAAGCTGCTTGCAACAGCCAGACATCTTCTAGCAAGGAGCAGGTCTAACACTGCCCCTGCCCAGGAGTTGCTTTGGGGACCCTACTGTCAGCAAGGTAAGAGAAATCAATTTACTCTTTGCTCTGGGTTTCTTGTGGTACAAGCTTCCTGTGCAGCCGAGGAAGCTCCTGTATTTCATAAACACTTCCACACCTCTGAGCAGAAGGGAAGCCAGAGAACTTCTCACCAGTCCTGCTGCTCTCTAGAGCCCACATCACCTCAGCAGCCCCGTGGTCTTCTCTGCACACCCACCGCCCCACAAACAGGCAAGTACATTATCCCAGAGCTTTGGGTACAGGGCAGGGGTGGTGGGAGCTCTCTGTTAAGTGCTCTTGTTTGGTTTTTCTTCTCCTCCTGGAGAAGGGCTACTAACCATGAACCTATTTGTTTTTGGAATAGTTTAAAGTCAAAGAGGGCAGGGTTAGATGTGATTTGGGGAAGAAATCCTCCCTCTGGGGGTGCTGAGGCCCCAGAACTGCTTGTCCAGACAAGCTGTGGCTGCCCCATCTGTGAAAGTGTCAGGTTATACAGGGCTTGGAGCAGACTGGGAGACTGGAAGCTGCACCTGACCAGAGCAGAGAGAGAAATGGGATGAGCCTTAAGGTCCATTGCCACCAGGGAAACCAGTTTTCCAAAACCAGCCAGGATTGTCCAATTTCTCTCCCCAGCTCTATCTCATAAAACACCACAAAAGTGAAACTGAAATATTTGATAAAAACAAGGTGTGTCAGAAAACAAACAGCAATTTCTTTCTGACCCTCAAACACTAGCTCTCACCTGAAGACAAAAAGGGCCTGCCAAAATAAATGGGCCTGGGCTGATTTCTCTCTATACTGGGGCACATTTGCCCCTAAAATCAGCATCCTCAGATTGTGCCAGCTGTGTTCTCTCTGCACCATAACTGGGGTTCTCCAGGAAAGGAGGACAAGGCAAAACAACCCACAGCCCCTGCTGCTTCCTCTCCAAACATTCCCTGTAACAACCCTGTGAAACCTATGTCCTTTGACAGTGAGGGCAATTTCGAGGCATTATTTCAAATTTTAAAGTCACTCCTTGTTACAATGTCCTCCTATTATGTCAAGTAATTTGCCTTAGCTTGTGTTTCCTCTTTCCCAAGGCATAAATCCACTTGGCTTTGCTTCAAAACCTCAGCCACTGCAGAATGTTCAAAAAACTCACCAAATTCATCGTAAATCAAATGGATCCACGCAAAGAATTGGTCCCTGTCGAGAGCATTGCATACAATGAGCACTTCAGGCCTCTCTATCTACTGAAAAAAAAGAGAAAATCAAAATCCATGTTCCATCCAGCTCCCTACTACCAGCAGACAGGGTTCACACTGCATGATGTGCTGCTGCCTGGAGAAGATGGTGAAAGCACAGGTAAAGCCCAGATTTATCAATCTGAATTTAAGAAATGCCACAGAAAATATTTTTGAACCATTTGTTTCTTAACAGTACCAGCTTTCCTATGTGTGATATACTTCCCGTGCTGAGTCTGTGTAATCCTGCTTAAGATAACAAATGAAATTATTTCAGAGTCCCTCCTTCAAGATTCCAACCATATTACTCTCACAAAAACCAGCGCTGACCAAGCTGATGGAGGTCTCAGCATTTCATTTGACCCTGCAAGTGTAGAAATGCAAGGAGGTGCCTCCTTGGCCAAGGCAATTGCTATCAAGCCACAGAAGAAGAGTGTATCACTGGAATCTCTGGAGGCACTGAGAAGAGAAAGGTAAGGAATGACCAAGGGAGCACACCTGCTTCAGTCATCCCCCTCTAGCTCATGCCAGGTTAACAATGGGTTTTCAACAGCCAAAAATCAAGATTAGATAGACCTTAGGGCATGAATTTCCCCTAACTAGACCAGGTTAGATAGGGAATGGAGTAACATTATCCCTCCTGAGCCTCCTCTTCTACATGCTTATCCCCCACAGCTGCCTCAGCTGCTCCTTGTGATCCAGAACCTTCCTAAACTTTTCCTCTTTTAGACAAATCAACATGGATCATTCCTTCATCCAACAAGTACAGGAAAGAGCCATCGATCTATACGTGGTGACTGAAATCCTCGAAGCCTCAGAGGAGACTGTGTACAGGCAATCCACAAAGGCAGATGGGGTCATTAATGTCATGTGTCACATTACAGTCGGTGCCAAGGTTTGTCTTCTCTCTCCTTCCTTCCCCAAACAACTCCACCCACGTGTTCTAACTGCTTGTTTTCTTTATCCAGAGCACCAGGGAGGACAAACAAACCATAGTCATTCCCAAGGGCTGCACCCTGGCCTTCAGGACCATGCTGCTACGCATTAGAAATGGAGCATGGTGTAAGTAACTTCCAGAAATTCTTTCATTCCAGAAAAGTTGCACAAGAGAAATAACATTTCGGGAAGTATCACTGCACCTCAGGTTGTCTGAAACAAGGTGGAGGCAGTGTGAGGGATAGAAATCACCTTGGAAAGGTCAGATAACCCATGCAAGGCCAAAGATACTATTTCGGTGTGGGGAGGTTCAGTAAAGAAAGAAAAGAAGGATGTCTCAGATCTACATTTCAGGAGCTGCAGAGCTCCTGTTGATAAATGGCACACACAAAAGAGTTTTGGTGTTTCTTTTCCTTTCCTACTCAGAAGAGAAGAGCCAGGGAGAAAACAGGGTGGGTGACCACAACTGGGAAAGCTGGAATAGAGAATCATAACTGTCCTTTCTATCCTTCTGCAGATCTCGATTACTTCCCAATAAAATTACAAGGTTCATTAAATGTGCGATATCAAGGTCCTGTACCTGTGAGAAGTCAAGGCTATGTAGCTGATGGGACGTATTGCATTTTAGAGCATCAAATTGCACAACTTTCACCTGCTTTAGGTAAGATGGACTCTTACAGTGTAAGACAAATCATCTGGAGTGATTTGCCACTTCTCTGATATAACATAACCACCCAAATTCCATATAGCTTCAAAAACACTAATACAGGTGATTCAAACTCAGGGTTTAGACCTGCTAATGAACTCCTAGAACTCAAGTGACAGATTAGGACACCTTTTGATTTACAGGTTCCTCACAAGGAAAATTAGGAGTAGTGGTGAGTGAAGTCAAATACTCCTGCAGAATTTTGCCCAAATTGTCTCCTGACCTGCTGCTCATTGTCTTCAACACCATCAAAGCTGTGATGACAGACAAGAACCTCTTTCAAGAGCTCAGACAGAAAGTAAGTGAAGCTTTTCTTACTGCCACGATTTATAAATACAGACACAACCAGGACCACGCCTCTTGCCCCACGACTCACCTGTCCTGTGCCACAACTGCCCATCCAAAATTCCCTCACTCACCACATCTCTCTGTACTGGACAAGCAGCAGCCTCAGCCCTCAGATCCTGACATTTCTTTCCCTTGTTCCCACAGATGGAAGAAATTCTTGAGCAAAATGACGGTTATGAGCTGAAAACTGAGAGCCCAGACTTAAAAGACCTGTTCAGCAACTTACAGCATTGTCCAAGAGATTGTCTCCTTCCGCTGGCAGAAGGAATCACCTACATCCTTGATGCTTTGCATGGTGAGGCTTTGAGACTTCAGGAGGGAAATCAAGGCAGGGATGACTCCCAGACCTGTCATTCCCTTCTGCCTTCCTCTCTGTCTCACTCCTTTTCCTCCTCAAATGGAATCAACATCCAAGTCCCGTGGAGGGGAGAGGAGAGAAATCCCCTCCACACCCACCCAGGGCTCCCTGCTCCCTCAAAGTGCAGTCACAGCTTCTGCCCAAGGGCCACCTCCAATCTCTGCTCTGGTGACCATGGACAGGACACAAGCAAATGGCTGGAGCTGTGTCTGGGAGGGTCAGGTTGGATATCAGGGAAAGGTTCTTATCCCAGAGGGTGCTCAGGCACTGAACAGACTCCCAGGAAATGGTCACAGCCCCAAGGCTGACAGAGCTCCAGGAGTGTTTGGACAACTGTCTCAGGCACACAGTGGGATTGTTGGG